TATTGTGAGACTCATTCGTCTATTCATACAGTTTTAAAATTTGTCACACCAACATGACGGGACGCACGGAGCTTCTACTGTAAGGACCGCAGAGAAATGGTAGGAAATTTTTCTAGTATTCCTTACATACTCTCACTAGGGTTCTTCGTCTTGCGGCCAGGGAAGGCGTCATAATCTGTTGCAGTGACATGTCGATGATATTAAACACACGTGAAGAAAGACTTGGGCAGGAAAAAAAACGTGAGCGGACAAAACCGGGGAATGCCGATAAATCAAGTAATCCCGCAATAATGAACGAATTACACAACATTAACCTTCCTCTGCTTCTCCCCCTGAACCAAGTTCAGATCTATGAACTGAACTTAAAGAATACAAAGTGCCTACAAATGGATTTCGAGTGCGGCGAGCAGACATAAATGTCTTGTTTATGCATCAGTCAATTCCAGCAGTGCCCATCCCCGCCCGGGCTAACCCCCGGGCATTAGCATTTTTTAAAAAGTTTGGCAAATTACCCGGGATGGGGACACCTAAGCTGTCTAAATGCCCCGGGGTGGGGACGAAGAAAGAGGGCAGATGCCTCGCCCCCGGGATCGTCGCCTTCCAACACCTCCACGGTTTTTTAATTAATCAGTGAATAAAACGGTCAACTGTTGAGTATTTTAATGCAACGGTAAGACTTCAAGGACAACAGTACGTGTTAGTTGATTCTGATAATATTTATTTCTTTATAGTTGTTTTTAACACTTTGCTAGAGGATAGCTGGGATTGCGGCGGATGTGTCCCCAGCCGCGAGCGATGATAGGCGCCTGTATTCGCAGGCTACTTTTTCTGTGAAGAATCAAGACATTTTAAATGATGATGCATTGCTTTTTAAGCTCGCAGGATCTGTCTTGAAAACCGCATCATTTGAATTCGCAAACCTTGAGTATTTTACCTCCACTTTCATGAATTTACAAAATGCTAGGCTAGTTTTGAATGCGAAATGCGAAATAGTCGTGTTCATGTCAGTGATTGTTTTGTGATGAACAAAACATAGTTCACCTCGTCGCCTATATTTATACGCTTACAAGTAATGAAGAAATATGTAAAATTGAGAAAACATACCTTTAAAAGCACCTGCAAGTTTCTCTAGTCCCTGACGGACAAGCCATTGTTCGACAAACGCCTCTTCTTTCCCGATGAACTCATCCATGGCACTTTCCAAAACACGTGTGTCGACTGCTCGGGGATCGCCCCGGGGTACGCAAATGCCCAGCCCCCGGGCCGCGATAAAATTGCGGATACCCCACCCCCGGGATTTACAACGTGAGCAAATGCCCCGCGGTTGCCCGGGTGGGATGGGCACTGCTGGAATTGGCTGATGCATTACCCATTGAAAGTCATCACAATAAGCTCTGAGCTTCCATCGAGATGCTAGTCTGGGCGTAAAGGAGCGTTTGATTAATCAATCTAAAACAGATCTTAAGGAATAGACACCCAGATGATCTGGAATACTTGTCTGAGTATATCGTTGGCAGTGGGAGCCACGTGTAGTATTATCATGCTCGGCAATTGAAGTTATTGTGTAGAAAATATCGCACAATTACACAGCCCGGGGAGCTAAGATAAATTGTCATTGCTTTAGGTGACCATGCATGGCTGCCAATGGCTTGCCCAATCGCTTGGCCAATGGCTCGTACACGCAACGAATCGTTAAGGTCCGTAAGTAACGACCTCCAAAAGAAGTGAGTCCATCCCCCACCCGCTGAAAATAGAAGAACTAGGGTTTAAAAGTATAATTATTTTTCCAATTAATAACCTGAATAACGTACGACAAACCGATGACGATTCAACTTGGGAAGGTATAGCTTATTCCAGCAGGCGTCATGGAGCGCCCTGGTAAAATAAACCCCGCAAAATTTTCATCAAGTAACAAGAAGGTACTAGCAGAGCCTTTTCTTCAAATTGAAATTACTAAAGTTGACAACTTTGCATCATATTTAACAGGAACGCATAAAAAGAACGTTTAATTATATTGAAATTAAAAACTCGACCAAAGCAGTTAAATATTTATAAAGCAGACTAACGTAGCAGTACTTCATAAACAGTAAATATAGTTTAAGGTATCTTACATCACGGTCTACATATAAAGTGCCCACCCATGTTCCAGCAACATAAGTTTGAACTGGAACGAAGAATTTCTAAACGATTTATAAGAACTTAAAGTTTTTACGAATTACACACAGAGCCTTAGAGGAATACAGTCCTGTTCTCATAAAATTTTTTTAAAAAACCAATGAAGAGATACTTACAGTAGAAGTCATTTGCGTCCCCTCATGGGGTTAGGGACTCTCGCCCATATCAACTTTCTTCTCGCTCCTAAGTTCTCGCGCGTTTAGAGATACGCGACACTCGCGTTTTAGGTGAGGGAATCCCAACCAATGCTTACACACGTGTATTTCACTTCTTAAAGTCTATGGATTTGGACAGTTTTTGTGTTGGAGGTTCTTGCTCATTTATATTTTCTTCTCTCGCGTGTTTTCGCGCGTTTAGAGATGCGCCACACTCGCGATTTCGGTGTCGACATCTCAAACTATGATTAGTGCACTTTTTAATGATGCTAGGTTTCGCCCTTTCTCAAATCTACACACGTGTATTTCACTTGTGCAAG